TCCTGTTTTTCAGGCTGTGACTGGTATTTGTAGTTTTAAACCCAAAATAGAAAAGAACAGTAGAATTCTTAGATGTATGTGTATTTGTGTGCATGTTTACGCTTGAAAGTAGGATTTAGCTGACAATTTAGGAAATAATGCTTTTGACAGTTATTCGGGTACTCCAGTATTTCTCCAACTGCTGTCACAACAGCACCCCAGAGGATGGGATGTTGAAATGGCTAGAACACAGTTGTTTAGCGATTATCCAAGTTATTGAACAGACTGACTTTAGGAGGTGATCTGAAGGAAGAGATGATATTCATACCTTCTTTAGAAGAAATAGAGCTCAGTTTCCTTGCATGTTAGTCATCTGTTAGGAGCCTTACTCCAAATTGCAGTGGACTTCACTTGAGCAAAATCCTTGCAGGTTTTAGTACTGGTATTAGTGCCATGCAGTGCCTAGGAACTGCAACTCAAACTTAGAAAAAACCTTTAGTTCTGACTGTAGCAAGACACGAAATTGCTCTTGTCTGTTTACACTAACGTTTGTTATAAAACTTTGGCCTTTTTTTAGTGTTCTACAGAGTCACCACATACCAAACAGTAGCTTGCAAGGCTTTCAGTAGTTTAACTGTGCTTGTAGCTTCTTTATCTTAGATATGTTACCTTTCTCTTATTGCTAACTCCCACCTAACCCTTTTCATTTCCTCTGGACTGACTTTGAAGTCGAATTGAAACTGCTGAATCTGTTTGATTTGAGTTGAAAATGAAGGACATCTTAAGACATACTGCAAACATTCACATCTGGGGGGGACTTCTTGTTGTATATTTTTTTGTTTTCTATTTTTAAATGTTTTTGAAAATGAGAAGTGAAGAATTTTGAACTTAGGATCGTTCGCAAACTGCTGTTCTTATTTTGGTGGGCTATCAATATATTTATTGTTTCTATTTTTATGCTTAACACTTTACATGTTTCTTCTACACTTAACAGGCATTCATGCTCAAAATCTTTTTTTCCTTTTGATATTTTCAACAAGCAGTATGTTACAGAGGTTAAAATATTTTAAGATTATTGTACCGTACCCCCCTGCCCCCCCATATTATCATGGGTTTAAAGTATACCCTGAGCAATGCTGCGTACTGTATGTGGATTTGCATTGCTTTTCTGAATTGGCCATGCTGCTGTTTATTCTTCTCATATGGAGGCGTTACTTTGCTGATACCTATATTCTTTCTCCTCACAATTCCATCACTGTTGATTGTAGGTCTGATGAAAGTGATTCCTCTCTGTCGGAGGTACACAGGTACTCTCTCTTTTCTGTTTTCTTGTCATCTCTCACTGAAGTTATTCCAGTTCTTAGGAAATTTCATTTTGCTGCATGAATTTTCCTGATACTTATGCATTATATCTGTTTTTGCTTTTGCTGGAAGTTTAAAAATCTGAAATTTTGGTCAAGCATGTCTCCCCTTCTCCTTTTTAGGGTTTTTTTATTGTCTTTGAGCATGTTAGGTTTTTTTCTTTTTAAACAAAATATGGTGTAAACCTTTCCTTAGCTGTATTCTTTCTCTCTTTGTTTTCTTTAAAAAAAAGAGGAGCAGACATTTTCTTAGGTTTTATATGCTGCTCTCTTTCTTTTTGTTTTTCTTGTTGTATGCTTTGGTCACTAAAAATTAAATCCCAGTGTAAATAGGTGGTTTTTTATTGTGTCTTTCTGGCAGAATGCACAGTGGCTTAAGAGATGAAAGAAATGTCCTCGTTCATGTTCCTAGCTGTGGCTTAGGATTTTGGAACTCAGTGGAAAATTAGTTTACCAAGAAAAGGGCAGCCAAAGGGCTAATAATACTGTGGTGGTGGCTTTGTCTGGTCGTTGTAGCTGTTGTAGCATTTTTTATCTGTAGATTTCAACACTGCACATAAGTAGATAAATAGCTCTGGGACATGTATTTTACATGGCTTATCAAGGGAACGAGTGGGTGAGAACAACAGTAGGAATAACTCAGTCTAGAAGCAGCATGACCCACTGGGGAATGCTACAGAGAAAACCATATTAGTTTTGTGTGATGTTAGACAACAAAAGCATAGAACCCTAAATTAATAATAAAATAAATTGTTTGTGTATTCTTGAAAACATAAAAAGGTGCAGATTGAAAGGTGGATGTCTTTCCAAAATGAGGGAGTTACGGTCAAACAATTTAAGGCAATATTAATATTAGTAAAATCTATAAAAGGATTGTGGAGGAGTAATGAATTATATGAATGAATATGTCCTGAGCAGTAAAAATGTATAAAATAGTAATTTCTAAGACTCTACTAGATAAACCAGCTAATTGTCACAAAGTTAGGCAGTATCATGAAGGACTTTTTCCTTCCTGTAGCAAGCTTCTGGGCAATATTATGGAATTTTTACATTTTCCTAAAGCATCTGACACTATTTTTTTTTTTTTTTTTTTTTGAGATGGGGCTACGACTTAGTTCCTTTTCCTCACAGTTATGTGTGTAATCCCCAGAAGAGCATGACAGTGAGTCTTAACTGCAAGCTGGTCAGGTCACAGCATTGTGGTGCATGTTTTTAGGCATTACCTTGAGGCTTTTCTACACTTCCCTGAAATTGGTGGGGTCCATGTGTGTGTGCAGTTGTAGGCATGGGATTTTAGACTGCTAATAATTTTTGCTTGGTGATGAACTGTGATTATTTTTTTTTTTTTTTTTTTTTTTTCAGGCTGAGTTAGTCTTTTGACATCACCACTGAACTAGCTACAAATCCCCAGGAAGATTCCTCTGGGGTGTCTGTACTCCAGCCATACTCCCTTTTAGCCATTTGAGTACAAGTGTGGCGTTGGGTATGGGGTGCAGTAGGAACCTTCCTCAGGCACACAAGTTATCAGCAGTTCTCCAAGCCTGCCTGTAGAAGGCAGTTGAGGTGAAATGCCTGCCGAGTTTGGAACTGGCAGTGTACATTACATTCGCTCCATTTTTCAGACTCGCTATTTAGACTAAGATGTCTTTATGCAATTTGCAGTCTTAAGGTTGGTCCTAGGCATCCAGGAGCTTTAAGCATCCTGGTTTTTTTCAGCATTATGCAGACTTTCCCATGTACCCAACATTCAGCATCTTGTCTTCTTTTCATTTGTTTGTTTTTGTACGTGATTTCCTTTAACTGATAGCCCAGAGTTGACATTTTTTGAAGCTAAATAGTAAAAATCCATATGTAGTTTGTGAAAGGCATTCAGCTGTTCTGCCCTCACATGTAAGAAAATTAGATTAATCTTTTTACCTACATTTAAATAAATTACTATTATCTGTGTCTATTACTATGCCCAACTCACATTCTCTTCTTTTTTCTTTAGGGGGATAATTAACCCATTCCCTGCTTCAAAATGCATCCGATCATCCCCACTTCAGTGTATCTATACAGCTGAAGGACATACCAAGGCTGTGCTTTGTGTTGATGCAACTGATGATCTTCTCTTCACTGGATCTAAAGGTTGGGCAAGCTCCATGCATCTGTGCTGCCTACAGAGGTTGCTTTGACAACTTGGGGTATTACAAAATTCTCAGTTTGCGCTTAGTGCTGTAAACACAGCGGAAAATTGTGAGATTCCATTTTGCAACATAAGCTGAAGAAGGATTTGCAGTAATTATCTACAGGTTTTTAACTCCAACGTGTAGTATTTGGCTGTTTATTTGTAGTGGAAAAAAAAACTATCATTAATAACATTAACATTTGTTGAGTGATATGATGGAACCAACCATGGTAATGTGCACACATGATGTGCAATGCAACATAATAGCCTCAGGGTAGAGGTGGGAATTAGGACATCTTTGGCTGTGCTACCTACAGAGTTTGAATGGAGTCTTCATGCCATAATTGATTCTTCGAACAGAGCTAAGGACATTTGCCACTTCCTCAGTACATCTCATTGCCCGTCCCTTGTGGGTATGAGGGTTATATGGCTGATATGGAAGAGGCTGGATTTTTAGTAGTCACTAAGTTCCTTGCTGGATGGTGCAGCCAGTCTATAAACTCTTCAAGCTGGTAGAAACAGGGTTTTGGAAGAAAACATTTTCCTCCTGTTTTTGGTGACTTTCCATTGTAATCATTCAGTTTGGCTTGAGGATAACATAGCCAGATGTTATGGTTATTTTTCATGAACACCCTTTTTAATATCACTCAAAAAGTGATTTTTGCATGTTCTACTTTATCTCTGGGCCTTTTCATATAAGGCACGTATGGTAAAGGACTTGCTATATTCTTAGTTGTGCAGCTGAAACTATGGCAGACTCTTTTTCCCAAATACAACCTGTGTGATAATCTGATTTTTTTATTTTTTTTTTCTTTTCTTGAAGTATCAAAGCTAATGTGAACTAGAGTGGTGGCTGGGAAAAAGTTAACACCTACTGACAGGGACACTCTCCTTTTCACTAGTTCACATAATGAATAAACTCTGAAATTTCAGGGCATCCTTTTTATCCCTAATTTAACACAGAGATAACCCCATCAGCAGTCTTCCACTGCTAATATTCAGGTATGGTTCCTATGGCTGTTCTACTAGCTGGCTGTTAAAAATACTGAGATGCACACTTACAGTTAATTGGCAAACTTTTGTCTTAAAACTTATAAGCCAATGTTTCAGCATTTGTGTAAGTGTATACAAATGCAAAAAAGGACACATGTTTAGTTTCTGTAAATGTTGCTTAGTCGTTCAGTATCGAGATTTTTTTAATTTAGTGGCTATGTGGGGGGGAAAAAAGGTGCTTTTTTTACATCTAGATTTGTGTTCTAAAGTTTTGGTGTAGTTTTTTGGTTTTGAACATATGGATGCTTGCAGATGTTGTAAATATTTGCTTTTTCAAGTCATATGCTAGTTTCCCATACTTAGGGAAGAATTTTTTGCTGTATATATTTTTGGAGGGAAAAAGTTTATAAAATACACTTGTACTCAAAAATGTAGACAGCTGTTTAATTGAATATGGTTAAATATTTTGGAAATTCTTGCTGAAGCAGGAAGTCTCAGCTCACTGACATCACATAACACCAGCAGCCAGTGCCAATTCAGG